CGTTCCTATAATTTTCCATCATGACTTCCCAATGCAGTGCTTTTTGGTCAGGATCCAGCCAAGACCACTCCTCCTCAGAGAAATACACAGCCACTTCCTCGAAGGACACAAGACCCTCCTGAATATTGGAAAAAAAGAACAGAACAAGCCCATGAGGATTTGAAAGATATGTTCCATTGTTCACAAATGCACTAAGACTAAGTCAAATGGCTGTGCTTGGTAGGATTCCAAGGTTTAGCTGAGAATGTGTCTTTAACTGAAGACATTCTACAGCAGGTGTTACCAACTTCCTTAATTCTGCACGACTTTCAGTCCCCTTCAGGAAAAATAATCCCATTTCTGTTTGTCTCTCTCTCTGTATTTGTCTGTCTGTCTGTCTGTCTATCTATCTATCATCTCTATCCATGTATTTGTTTATCTATCATTATCTCTGTCTGTCTGTCTGTCTGTCTGTCTATCTATCTATCTATCTATCTATCTCTATCTTCTAGTAATCTGGCTGAATGGGTGAAAAGCAGAAAAAATCCCTGGCAAGGGCAATTCTCAGCCTTTGCAAAGCTGGATTGTTTGGCCTCCAAATCCAAGCCCAAATCAGAGGATTGCAAATTGCTTTGCAGGCCAAAAAGGCCTTGATTGCAAATTCTTTCAGAACTATTTTTTAAGAGAGTTTTCCATTGGCATCACAGGTTAATTGTCTGCCTTGTTTTTTTTAAAACACAAAAAGCTTATTTTTCTTATCAACGATTGTGAAGAATGCTTTGTGAAACAGTAATGCACCAGTGTATTTATTTTTTTAATAAGCCTTGCACAGCAAAGTCAACAATGACCAAAAGAACTGGCCTCTGTTTAGCAACTGCTGCGATTGTGAGGTGTTTACTCTCACTTCTTGAAGGAGTTTACTTCTTGTAAACTCATAGTAAGAATATCCAGCAGAACGAGTTAATTACTGGCTTTTAAATATAACATTGCTTAGACAGAATCTGAGGGTGGAAATGACTAACCACTGTGTCCCAACAACAGTCTTCAGAGGGAGCTAACCTGGTTGAGAGCAACTTGAACCCAGTTATTCCCCTTTCCACGTTGCTCAGAAAACATGGAAATAACCCAGCCCAAACAAGAGGGGGGAATGGAAGGAGAGAGTGTTCCGAACACCAGCTTCACTTCCTGAAGGAAAGAGGGAATACAAATCTAAATAATTATTTTCCCTAACTTACTTCATTTGGAGGTTCAAACATTGTTTCAGCTCCACCATAAAGACCAGAAAACTTCACTCTATGTTTCTCTGCAAGGGATACAGAATTTTAAAACGCATAATTAGCAAAATTGGAGGAGGTATTCTAACAGAGAAGGTAACTGAGCTGGGCTCTCGCTGGGAAATAGGAGGACTTTGATTACCTTCTAAAGTGCCCTGATTTGGATCTTCCTGAGAGGCCCCCAAGAAAAACGGCTCCTGTGAGGGATTTAATGGATTCTTCCTTCCATCAGGATCTCTGATCTCCACAGTGGAGGACTATGTCGTAGTTGGAGAAAAGAAGCAGAATTAATGGACATCACACCACACGAAGTGGATTATAGTTCTCTGAATGCAACCTCAAAGTCCCCAATACTCTATGGCAGGGGTGTCAAACTGCCGGCCCACGGGCCAGACGCGTCATCCGGAAACCACGCCCACCCCATTGCCAGCAATGGCAAAACTGTCCCGATACATTGCACGACGTCACATGACGTCGCGAGTTTGACATGTCTGCTCTATGGAGATTCTCATTCATCCAAGTCATGGTTGTCCCAAAGGTGCTTTTTCAGGAGGCAACTTTATTCTCTTTTGGACTCCCTAGATGAAAGTCTCTCACCTGCAATTCGACCTTCTCCTTCTTCTCCTCTGCCTGGCTCAGGAAAAAGCCTTCCACCAGGGCCACTGCCTGAGCGCTGGTCTCTGCTCCACACTCCCGCACCCAACTCTCCATCTCTGGGGGTAGAAGGGCCAAGAACTGCTCCAGAACAACCAAGTCCAACATCTGGGCTTTGGTGTGCTTTTCCCTTCTCAGCCACTGCCTGGAAAAGTCATGGAGTTGACTGCAAAGTTCTCGGGGACCCTGGCTGTATTGGACACTCCTGAAGTTGCAGGGCTGAACTTCTGAAGGGATGAGGTTTTCCTCCTCCAGGGTGGTCTCCTGCCCAGTGCTTGTCTGGATCTCCTCGGAGCCCTCAGGCTGAAGAGCAGGAGGGCCTTTTCCAGTCCCCTCACTTGCTAAAAGTTGTGTCTCTATTCTATCTTCGTCCTGAAAGGCAACTCCAAAAGGGTCCAAACAATCGTGGGGATCTCCAAAGGCCTTTTCATTCATAGCATCGTTTCCGTTTCCGCAGGACCGACCACAGGCAGCCATTCTGTCCTCTTTGCCCAAGCCACGATTTTCGTCTCTTTGCCAAAGACATACAAAAGGGCTTCCAGTTTGTATATCTGACATGGAAAGCAAAACAAATAATAAAAAAAAAAATCTCAGAATTAGAAAGCGGCAGTTTAACCATTGAGCACCACTCTGCCCTATGGGGAGGGGAAGGTCGTTGAGGACAACCTATATGGGACTGAGTTAGAATGCACAATCAATGCACTTGGGAGTATTTTTGTTTTCATTCTTTCTCACAAGGAAGTTTTCCCTTTTCAAAAACTAGACTAACATTCACCACCTCCTAGAAAGGTTCACACAGCCTGCCTGGCCCCCAAAAGGTGAACAAACCATGAAAGATCAGTTCACATCCAAGGAAAAGCGCCTGGCTGAGGATGCCGCCTTTCCCTTCTTCTGGGTGACCCTTTGGAAATCTGTGTCTCCCCCTGACACGCAGGCAGCTTCACACAACCTGCCCGAGGCCCCAAGCGAGCCGGCCAAACGCAGGGCCGACTCCCACCGCCCCCGCCCCCACCAAGCAGGGCCGAGGAGGAAGCAGCTGGATGGGCCGCGCCGCTTCTCTCTCCCTCCGGAGGCAGGCGGGACTGCGGAGGGTCGGGTCCTCCAGGATCCTGACCCTACCCGGGTGCGAATCCTGCCTTTCCTCTCCTGCTGGGCCTCCCCCAGGCCGACCCTCCTCTCCCCGCACTCGGGCTCTTCTTCCCCGGACACGGGGCGGGAAGGGACACCCGGATCCCCGCCGCCTTCCTGAGATCCCCGGTTCTTCTTCGGCTAAAGCTCCGCAGCTCCGCTTCCCGCTTGCGTAGAGAGGGCGGCCGGGGAACATGGGACTTGGGATTGCACCCGAAGGAGGGCCGGGGCCGGGTTTCCCCCTCCTCCGCCTCCCTTTGCACGGGAAGAGCCCCTCCCCCACCTAAGACACGCGTGAATCTCTCCCCCCGCGAGACGCTCCCGCAGCCTCTTCGCCTCCCGCGGAGCTCCAGGGGTTAAGGAGAGCGAGTGCGAACTCCTAGAGCGTCGGGCGTTGGTGACGTCACGCCTCCTCTGGAAAGCCAGCCGTGACTTTCGCCCTCCAGTGACCCGATGGGGAAGCTCGTGGTGTTGCCTTCCTTTGGCAGAGGACGCCCCCTGGAGGATCCTGCGTACAATGCAGCTGCTCATGCCCTGAATGGGAGAAAGGGACCGTTTTCCTTGGAGGGAGAGGAAGAAGCAGGGCTTTTTTGTCATAGAACGCCCAGAACGGAGTTCTGGCACCTTTTTTGAATGGAACCTTGTAGGGTAGGTAAGGCAGGTTGTATGACATGTGTGAGTTCCAGCACCTTTTTTTTTTTTTTTTTACAAAAGTTGGACAAAAGTTGGACAACTTTTTACAAAAGTTGGACAACTTTTGAATGTATCCTTCCTTTTCAAGTAAGTTCAAAATAGAGTAGAGCTGGAAGGGATCTTGGAGGTCTTCTAGTCCAGCCCCTTGCTCAAGTAGGAGACTTTATACCATCCTGGACAAATGGTGATATTGCAGCCCCCTCTGGAAAGCCAGTCATAACCTTCCCCCTCTAGTGGCCCAATGGGGAAGCGCATGGGGTACTCTGGAGGAGTCTTGGTGCATATGTTGTGACAAGTCACGTGACTTTGCAAGTTTGACACCCCTGGACTAGACATAATCAGTAAACCTTCAAGAAAATTGAGTAAGAAAGCCAGCAGTGTTCTTTTGTGGCTATTCTCATTATTTTTAGCATGCTTTCCCATATGTCTTACAGGTGTCATGGAAAGTTATAACCTCCATGTTTATGATTCATCTAGGTCAGGGGTAGGCAACCTTATCTCTTTTATGACTCTTGGACTTAAACTCCCAGAATTCCTGAGCCAGCATGCTGGCTCAGGAATTCTGGGAGTTGAAGTCCACAAGTCATAAAAGAGACAAGGTTGCCTATCCCTGATCTAGGTTCTCCTTGGATGCTTGGGTAAATAGCCATTTTCTCCTACAAGAATCTTCTCTTAATAAAGTCACTATCTTTAACCAATCCATGTGTGGAGGACATCAACAAAGATGATTAGGGGACTGATCATATAAAGAAACATACAAAGAACGGTTGCTGGAATTGAGTGTGTGTAGTTTAATGAAGAGAAGGACTAGGGGTGACATGATCGCAGTCTTCCAATATCTCAGGGGTTGCCACAAAGAAAAGGGAGTCAAGCTAATCTCCAAAGCATCTGAAGGCAGGACAAAAAGCAATGGATGGAAATTAATCGAGAAGAAAAGCAACCTAGAACTAAGAAATCAATGGAACTTGGCTCCAAAAGTTGTGGATGCTCCAACCCTGGATGTTTTTAAGAAGAGATTAGACAACCATTTGTCTGAAATGATATAGGGTTTCCTACCTGACCAGGGGGTTGGACTAGAAGACTTTCAAAGTCCCTTCCAACTCTGTTATTCTATTTTATGCTAGGAACTGACTCAAAGGGTGGATATTTCCACTAGGAACTGTAGCTAAGCTGCCTTTCAAAACCCTCAAGTACAGCCTCTCCAAAAGTAATTCCTTTTGTCAATTTTAATTGTGCCCAAGAATAATATATGACAAGAAAGACATCATACCAAGTATGTTTAATTGATTTAATCTAAGGTTACAGGGTAATGTAATACAATGCATGTTAGCTTCAGTCAGGCTCTTCTCACTCCAAAACAAAGCAGATTTTGGCATCTTCACGGGAGAAAGGCCTGTGCATTTATGGGCCTTCTCACCTTTATGAGAAGGAAACTCTCAACATCCAGATTGAGAATCCAAATAAAGCTCCAGGTTCCTTTCGTTTCTGAAAAGCTTACTGTTTATTGAATACACCGCTTGGTTATGTCAAAGAAAAACTAATTCTGTGGTTCCAACACCAATTCATTAAACAGTAGTTTTCACAGCCAAACCCCCAATGTCTTACGTAATCCGTATCAACAAGTCCACTTTGTTATGGGAATTGTCTGCTTGAAATCCACACCTGTTCTGGTGTTCTTGACAAGGCTTCAAGCTCTCACGGTCTGCAGCTGAATCAAAGAAGTTTCATTTCTCCATCTACCCACTTGAAAGTAACACCCTTTATCTAAAGGCAAGTTGAAATGCACAGCTGCATTCATCCTTGACACTCTCCCTCTGAAGCTTTTATCACACACTGTGCATTTATATGGCTTCTCCTTTGTGTGGATTATTTCATGCCTAGTAAGTTGACTGGGACAAGCAAAGATCTTCCCACACTCCATGCATTTCTACAGTTTCTCCCTTGTGTGGATCCATTTATGTAAACTAAGAGAACTGCTCTGAGCAAAGGTCTTTCCACACTCCATGCATTTATGTGGATTCTGCCCTGTGTGGATCCATATATGTAAACTAAGATGTTGCCGCAAACTAAAGCTCTTTCCACACTCCATACATTGGTGGAGTTTTTCCCCCGTGTGGATTCTTTCATGGATAGTAAGATACCTACTTGTCTTGAAGCTCTTACTACACATTGTGCATTTATATGGCTTCTCCTTTGTGTGGATTATTTCATGTTTAGTAAGTTCACTGGGATAAGAAAAACTCTTTCCACATTCCGTGCATTTATATGGCTTCTGCCCTGTGTGGATCCAGTTATGTAAAGTAACTTAATGCTGCAACCTGAAGTTCTTTCCACACTCCATGATAGAGTTCCCCCCCCCATGTGGATGCTTTTATGTTTAGTAAGATACTTGCTTGTCTTGAAGCTTTTACCACACTCTCTGCATTTATATGGCTTCTCCTAAATTATTTAATGCGTAGCAAGTTCACTGAGATAAGCAAAGTTCTTTCCACACTCCATGCATTGATAGGGTTTTCCCCCCATGTGGATTCTTTTATGGATAGTAAGATACTTGCTTCTCTTGAAGCACTTACTACACTCCATGCATTTATATGGCTTCTCCCCTATGTGGATCCAGTTACAGGAAGTAGGTTGACTGCCTTTTCTAAACGTCTGTCCACAATTCCCGTCTGTCCACAATTCCCAATTTTTAGATTGCTTTGCTTCTGTGGCGGGTCCTATTCTGAAGTGTAAAGGACCTCTTTCCATGAGAAAAAGCGAATGTCCAGTTGTAATTTTTTTTCCATTGTCTCTGAATATGTTCTCTTTGTTAATTTGGGCTGGATAGCATCCATTTGCGTCTAATTTGTCTTTGATTTGTTTCCCAATATATATCTTTATTTTTCCTTGTGGGACCACAAAGTCTTACATTGGTGCAGCAGTGGTAGATGAACTTTCCTGATTCCAATTGTCAGACTGTTTTTTCGCATATTTTTCTACTTCTATTCCAATTGCAGATGTCTCCATTCTGTCTCCAGCAGTGATCCCTTGGAACTGTTCATAGGAATCTTTATTCTCCTGCCCATCATTGCCTTAAAAAAAAAATAGGAAAATGAAAATGATAGCAAAATTAGGGAAAAGATCAAACTATAGGAAGTACTATGAATTTCTCTCTGAATTCTGGTCAAATTCCAATATATTAAATGTTTACATACTTGGCATGGCACAGAAATAATAATTCCTATATGTATGAGCTATAAAAACTATTAAAAGATCTAAAACATCCTGTTTCACCCCTAAACACCACTATTGCAAACATCCTTTTTATTTAGAATTATTCTGATATATTCACATCTCACTTAAGAATCAGCTTTGAGTTAGGGAAGAATCAAGGGAAACTTCCAAGGAGAAATTAGGTGAAAATTGAACACTTACTAGAGGATGTCAATTCCAGGAAAGACCTGTACACAACTAAGTAAATTTTGAAACATATCTTTTTCTTCCCATCCAAACTACCATGTTTCCCCGAAAATAATACCTATCCCAAAAATAAGCTCTAGCTTAATTTTGGGGGGTGTACCTAATATAAGCCCTATCCCAAAATTAACCTCTAGCATTGTGGTTGCCAGGAGAGCTGGCTGGGGGTGTGGCCAGCTTGACATCACTTGCATGGACATGAGAGAGTCGGGGCAGAGTGGGGGGGAGGGACAGGAACTACGGAGTTTTGCATGGTACAAACTTACCGCACCAAAGCCATTTAGACTGAGGTGTCCAGTGAATGTGGTTTCAGCTTTTACACTGTCCCTTGACTAGAAAGGGTCTAATTCAGGGATCGGTCCCCTTTTCCTTCAGCATGGCCCAAGCTCCCTATGCTTCTTTCCAATTCTGCCTCAAAGCCTCAGCAATTCAATTCTCTTCCCACCTTCCCAGCATGCAAACCTAACCCCACCCCCTTCTTTCAACACCCCCCCCCACCTGGCTTGCCTTGCTTTGTCCTGTCAGCAGCAGCCCCATCCAGCAAGAGCCCCACCAGCATAGGCAAAGGAGAGGGAGCATAGCAGCAGTTGAGGAGGCAAGCATGGCCGGGCGTCCCCTCAGGAAAGCGGGGCTGAGCCACAGGGTTCTGGCACCAGGCTGGATGCCCGCCACCCATGCTGTCGTCCGGGCCCCCCCATGTGGCCTGAGAGGGTCAGCGAGGCTGCTCCGGTGGGTCAGGCCCCAGCACCCGCACTGGTCCCATCCCCCTCTGCTGGAGACCCCTAGATCCCCCCAACCCCACCCAAGTGACATCAAGCTGTCCTTGCCCACCCCGGCCACAACCACCCAGTTGGCTGTGATCACCCGGCCATGCCCCCGAGAGCAACCACAATGCTGATACAGCCCTCAATGAAATTGAGTTTGACACCCCTGTTCAATTAAGTCTCAAAAGCATGTTTGCAATTGGAAAGTGGCACCATTTAGCCCAGGGATGGCAAAAAGTTTGGACTCAACACTGTCAAACGTTTAAAAGATGCTTAACTTGACTTAGGTGGCATCTTACCCACACACATGAAACAAAAGATAAACTATTTTCTACCTCTCCCCCATCTAGGCCATTCTGAACAGTACCCCTCAGCAGTAGAGCCAAGGCTGGGCTTGAAGTAGGGGCCTGGGAATCAACTTGAGCCCTAGGACCACCGCTTCCACTAAAAAAAGGCTGCCTTGCACATTTCCACAACATGCACAAGCCTTGGGGAAACGGTATGATTCACCCACAGCGCACCTGATGAACTTCCTAAACAATTTGCCTGCAGGGTAGCAAACCCTTACCCAGAGAGCCCATGTTCCTATGATTTTCTAGCATGATTTCCCTTTTTGGTCAGGATCCAGCTGAGACCACTCTTCCTTGGAGAAATACACAGCCACCTCCTCAAAGGACACAGGAAAAAAAAAAAAGAATAGGACCAGGATGGCTTGTAACATCTGCTCCATTGGTCACAAATTCCCAAACCAAAGATATGCACTAACAAATGGAGTTTAATCCAGAATTATTTTTGTTAAGCATAATTGTAATTATGAGAATGTATATACTTAATGAGAAAGAATGTATATACTTAATTTTACATACATTAACTGCAGCAAGAATTGTATTTGCTCAATATTGGAAAAATGAAGATCTACCAGCAGAGGAAGTGTTAATTAAAAAAATCTTAGTGTGCAGAAATGGATAGATTGACATTGAAAATGAAAGAAGATTCAGTTTATTTTAGAACATGGGATACTTTTTATAATTGGCTAGAAAATGAGATAGAGAGAAAGGAACTTAACATGTATTAGTAAACTAGACATTGAAACCCAAACAATATGTTGCTGATATTTTAAGCGCTTGTGATTATAAAAAAACTAATAAATATATATATATATAAGATATGCTCTAACCTACATGGCTGTGCTTGGTAGGATTCCAAGGTTTAGTTGAAAAAATGTATGGAGCCGAAAACCTGTGCCTGAAGAAATATTTCAGGCATGTAAGGAACGGCTGCAAGCATATAAGGAACGGCTGCTGGAATTTGGTATGTCTAGTTTAATGAAGAGAAGGACGAGGGGGGACATGATAGCAGTGTTCCAATATCTCAGGGGCTTCCACAAAGAAGAGGGAATCAAGCTATTTTCCAAAGCGCCTGAAGGCAGGACAAGAAGCAACGGATGGAAACTGATCAAGGAGAGAAGCAACTTAGAACTAAGGAGAAACTTCCTGACAGAATAATGTGAATGCTCCAACACTGGAAGTTTTTAAGAAGAGACTGGACAGCCATTTGTCTGAAATGGTATAGGGTTTCCTGCCTGAGCAGGGGGTTGGACTAGATGACCTCCAAGGTCCCTTCCAACTTTATTATTATTAATTATTAGTATTATTATTATTAACTTCATTCGTTCTGCAGGACTTTCAATGCCATTCAGTGATACTAATCCTCTCTATCAACTATCATCTGTCTCCCTATCATCACTTTGTTCAGAGTTCCCTCATTCGCTCAGAGTTGGATTCCAAGCATGGTGCAAGTCCTATGCAGACGCCCAGGGAACAGACTTACTAATTATCTGGGAACGCTTTGAAAGATCAGTTCACATCCAAGGAAAAGCCAGGAAATAAACCTGCCTGGGGATGCCACATTTATCCTTTTTCTGGGTGGCCTTTGGGGAGGCGAGTCTCCCTCTGACACGCAGGCAGATTCAGACAACAGTGCCTCCTCGCCCGGCTTCTCTCTTCTCCTGCTGGGCCTCCGCCAGACCGACCCTCCTCTCCCCACACTCACGCTCTTCCTCGGACAACAGGGCGGGGACTCCCGAATCCCCACCGCCTTCCTGGGATCCCCGATTCTTCTGCTGCTGCTGCTACTCTAGAACTCCGCATCTCCCCTGCATGGAGAGGGCGGCTGAGGAACATGGGACGCGGATCGGACCTGGAGGAGAGCCGGGTCTCCCCCTCCTCCGCCTCCCTTTGCACGGAAAGAGCCACCAACACCTAAGACACGTGTGAATCTCTTCCCACTCGGGACACTCCCGCAGCCCCTTCGCCTACCGCGGAGCTCCAGAGGTTAAGGAGAGCGAGTGCGGCTTCCTAGAGCGGCAGGCGTTTGTGGTGCCACGCCTCCGCTGAAAGGTCGATGTGACGTTCGCCCTCCAGTGGACCAATAGAGAAGCGCCTGACGTTTCCTTTTCTTGGCAGAGCGCGCCCCCCTGGAGGAATCTATGCGGAATGTGAAAGGGTTCTCCGAAAAGGCGGGAAAGGGGGAGAGCTGAGGGAAAGGGGAGGGCAGGGATGATGGGCATGGGAGTAGACTTTCATTGGTTGTCTGTCAGAGAAAGGTGGTGGCGCCTCCTGAGGGAGGGAAAATTTTCCTCTCAGGAAAATGGACATTTCTGTCGGGTTTTTATTTCTTTAGCTCAATATACAGCAGCTGACCTTCTCAATTTCTTGCTTCTGCGTAATTAAGAATAATTGGAAAGACCGAGTGGGAGCTTATGACAAAGGAAATAATGCTGAAGAAAAAGAAACATCGAAAGAAAACCAGTTCCAAAATGAAGGAAGAACTGAAACTCATGGATATTCCAGAAATTTTATCTCACAACGAGGCTCCTTGGTGGAGAAATGAAGAGAGGGCAAATGGCATCTTGTCTGTGACAGGAGAAAAAGTAGAATTGTAAAATGAAAGAAGTAAAATAGTGAAAAATGAATATAAATGTCAAATCCATGAGGTGAAAAAAGAACAGAAATTTATTTTGCTCAAGGGAATTTATCTCATAAAGAAACATGTAGAAAACTAAAGGTGTTCTGTTCTATTCCATTCCATTCCAGTATTCTTGCCTCGGGGTGCCTAAGAATAAAACTGGAAAGACCAAATGGCAAGTACTGACAAAGGAAATGATGCTGAAGAAAAAGGAACATTGAAACAAAATTGGTTCAAAAAAAATGGAGAAAAAGGTCAAACTGGTGGATGTTCCAGAAATTTTATCTCACAATAAGGCGCCTTGGTGGAAAAATGAAGAAAGGAAATTGGCATCTTATCTTTGAGCAGAGAAAGCTTGGAATTAAAAAATGAAGGAAGATAGTGAAAAAGGAATATAAATGTCAAATGCATGAGAGGGAAAGAACAAAACTCTATTTTACTTAAAGGTTGAGTAGAGAATTTACCTCATAGGGAAACATGAGTAGGAAAAAGGCCTTTATGGAATTTAAGGCAGCCAGAAGCATCTGGTATTCCCTTCTCTTGGCGACATGCTTCTGGCTCTCCCCATGCCTTGCCTGCAAATAACCTGATTGGAGGGCTGGACTAATGATGAAGGACTGATGAAGCCCCCACAAACAACCCACATGTGTTGCTCTGCACCTGTCCTGCTTCAGGACATCTTGATTATTTTTACAAACAGCTTTATAACTTCCTGAGATTTGCTTCTTACTTTGCAAGTCTCCCACTCAGGGCATCCAGGCTCAAGTTTGTACCAAGATTTCCCTAAGTGTTTCTGTCTGTGCAGAGTGCAAATTTGTGAGATTGAGAGTTGACTTGATACCAGAGTTGCTGCTTCTCCACTGATTGTGCACCCAAGGAGAACATATTTGAAATTACAAGTATTGAAAGGAGAATTTGCATAGACAAAAAAAGGACTGGATGTTGAAGAAACCTGTACGTTAACAACTATGACTGATCCATTGTCCATAAAGCTTGCCTTTCTTTTACCTCAAGACTTTGTAAGTAAAGATTCTCTTACAAAATGAGAGACCTTTGACTGAAAAGGTTGCATGTTTCTGCAAGTCTACAAGTCTGATTTTGTTTGTGTGTCTGTCTGTTTTCACATTCCAGAGGCCACTCCCCTTCTCATTTCTGTGTGTTTGGTCAAGAGCAACTGTGGTAATTTTCTGAAGTACTAGTTCTCAATTTACAAACATTTATTTAACATCTGTTCAAACTAAAGGTGTTTCCCCCAAAATAGAATTTCAACTGCACCTCAAAATTATGACCTGTGACCATGTGATCAAGACTCAGCCACTTTAGAATTGGCAGCTTCCACAGTCAAAGGTCTGATCTTTGATACTCCAGAAGCCATGCACGTTTACAATGTTATTTTTCCTCACAACATCCAGAGACTTTATCACTAGCCAGGTGAATGAGTGACATTTGGGAACTCACGTGTTTTCTTGCTGTATATTTCTTGTACACAGGAACAGAGGAGTGAAGTTTGTATGTACCTGTCTTTTCCAACAGCTTAAGATGCAATTCCACACCTGGACATCACCAGATGGTCAATAACAATATCAGAGAGATTACGTACTTTTGCAGCCAAAGATGAAGAAGCTCTATACAGTCGTTAAAAACAAGACCTAAAGCTGACTGTGGCTTAGATCGTGAACTTCCTGTTGCAAAATTCAGGCTTACACTGAAGAAACTAGGAAAAACCATTAGGCCATTCAGGTATGACCTAACTCATATGTCCTGTGAATATACAGTAGAGGTGATGAATAGTTTTAAGGGGTTAGATCTGGTAGACAGAGTGCCAGAAGAACTATGGACGGAGGTTTACAACATTGCACAGGATGCAGTAATTAAAATCATCCGAAAGAAAAAAGAAATGAAAGAAAATGAAGTACTTTTCTGATGAAGCCTTACAAATAGCTGAGGAAAGAAAGTGAAATGCAAAAGAGAAAGGGCAAGACACACCAACTGAATGCAGATTTCCAGAGAGCAGCAAGGCCTTCTTAAATGGAAAATGCAAAGAAATAGACGAAAACAGTAGAATGAGAAAGACTAAAGATTTCATCAAGAAAACTGGAGATATCAAGGGAATGTTTTGTGCAAAGATGAGCACAATGAAGGACAACAATGATAGAGACTTAACAGAAGGAGAAGAAATTAAGCAGAGGTGACAAAAATACACTTGTAGAACTATACAAGAAAGATCTTAATGCCCCTGAAAACCATGATGGTGTGATCACTGACCTCGGGCTAGACCAGAGGTCCCCAATCTTTTGAGCACCAGGGACTGGTTCCGTGGAGAAAGGTTTTTCTATGGACTGGAGGGGGCATGGTTTCATGTACTGCCTGCATCGCACGGATGGGGCTTTGCTTGTTTACGTGGACCGGTTGCTGGCATGCTGCAGCACAGTGCTGGTCCACGGACCGGGAGTTGGGAATCCCTGGGCTAGACATCCTGAAGAGTGAAGTCAAGTGGGCCTTAGAAAACATTACCAACAACAAAGCTAACAGAATATTTCAACTGAGTTATTTAAAATTCTAACCAGATGATGCGGTTAAAGTCCTGCACTCAATATGCCAGCAAATTTGAAAAACTCCACAATGGCCACAGGACTTGAAAAGGTCAGTTTATGTTCCAATCCCAAAGAAGGGCAATGCCAAATAATGTCCAACTACCGTATCATTGCACTCATTTCACATGCTTGCAAGATCATGGTCAAAATCCTATAAGATAGGCTTTAGCAATACATGAACCAAGAACTACCAAAAGTACAAGTTGGGTTTCAAAGAGGCAGAGGAATTAGAGATCAAATTGCCAACATTCATTGGGTTATGGAGAAAGCAAGGGAGTTCCAGAAAAACATCTACTTCTGCTTCATTGACTACGCTAAATTCTTTGACTGTGTAAATCACAACAAACTCTAGCAATTTCTTAAAGAAATGGGAGTACCAAACCACCTTACCTGTCTCCTCAGAAACCGGCATGTGGGTCAAGAAGTTATAGACATGGAACAATTGATTGGTTCAAAAGAGGGAAAGGCTCTATATTGTCACCCTGCTTATTTAACTTACATGCAGAGTACATCATGTGAAAAGTCAGGCTGGATAAATCATAATCCGGAATTAAGATTACCAGGAGAAATAGCAATAACCTCAGATATGCAGACAATACCTTCTAATGGCAGAAAATGAAGAGAAACTCAAGAGCAGAGTGCAGAGAAGAGCGACAAAAATGATTAGGGAGCTGGAGGCTAAAACATACAAAGAATGGTTATAAGAATTGAGTCTAGTCTAGTGAAAAAAGAAGACTAGGGGTGACATGATAGCACTGTTCCAATATTTGGGGGGCTCCTACAAATATGAGGGGGTCAAACTATTTTCCAAAGCACCAAAAGACGAGACAAGAAATGGTTGGAAACTAACCAAGAAAAGAAGCAACCTAAACTAAGGAGAAATTTCCTAATGGTGAGACCAATCAACCAATGGAATAGTTTGCCTTCAAAAGTTGTGGCTGTTCCATCACCGAAGGCTTTCAAAAGGAGATTAGACAACCATTTGTCTGAAATGGTATAGGGTCTCCTGCTTGAGGAGAGGGTTGAACTAGAAGACCTCTGAGGTCCCTTCCATTATTCTATGTTCTATGAAGGTGAGAGGAGAGTACAAAAGATGGCTTGAAACACAACATTTAAAAAAAAGATCATGGCATCTGGTCCCATTACTTCCTGGCAAATAGAAGGGGAAGAAATCGAAGCTGTGAAAGATTTAATTTTCTTGGGCTTCAAGATCACTGCAGATGGCGTTTGCACCCATGAAATTAAAAGACTCTTGCTCCTTGGGAGGAACGCTATAGCAAACCTAGATAACATAGTAAAAAGCAGAGACATCACTTTGCTGACAAAAGTCTGCATAGTCAAAGCTATGGTTTTCCCAGTAGTAATGTATGGCTGTGAGAATTGGACCATAAGGAAGGCTGAGCACTGAAGAATTGATGCTTTTGAATTGTGGTGTTGGAGAATCCCTTGAACTGCAAGGAGATCAAATCCGTCAATCCTAAAGAATATCAACCCTGACTGTTCTTTGGAGGGACAGGTACTGAAGCTGAAGCTCAAATAGCTCGGCCATCAAATGAGAGAGGACCCATAGAGAAAGACCCTGATGTTGGGAAAGATTGAAGACAAAAGGAGAAGGGGATGGCAGAGAATGACATGGTTAGATAATGTCATCAATGCAGTGGGCATGGGTTTGGATGGACTCCAGAAGACTGTAGAGGATGGGGGACCTTCACTTGCTGTGGTCCATGGGGTTGTAAGGGCAGACACAACTTAGCAACTGAACAACAAACAATGAGAGAGCACGGAAGAATAGAAAACTCTGTACATCAGTGTGAGTCCCTGAGGAAAAAGGAGAATACAAATTTAATAAATCCGCCCCCCACTTACTTGATTTGGAGATTCAACCACTGTTTCAGCTCCACCATAAAGATACCAGAAAGCTTCATTTTATGTTTCCCTGAGAGGAGACAGAAGTTTAAAATATATAATTAACAAATAAGGAGAAGACACAAAGAAGGGAAAGCAGCTGGGATCTATCCGGGGAATGGGAGGGAATGATTTGTGTGAGAAAAAATGACTGGATCATGCACAGAGTTGTAAGATACATTGGAAGGACCAAGAGATGGTAGTGCAGGAAAGAAGAGGAAGAGGAATATTTCTGTGGGAAGAATCTAGAGAAAGAAATATTTTGGAAAATATTAAAAAAGCAGAATATATTTCCCCAAAGGAATAATGGAGAAGATCTTTAAAAAGGCAGAAACCTCCCCCCCCCAGCCAAACAACTCAGCAGAAACCAGCTTTTAGAAATGCAAATGTAAAAATCCTTTCAGAAAGGTTGGAGCCTTCCAGCTAGAAACTAAAGAGATTAGGAAGACAAAGACCCTTAAAATGTACATACCCCACCCAAACTCTAAGACAGGATTAACCCGCCAATACCAAAAGGGCACAGTCAGATTCAGGTCAAAGTACATGATACAGGAAATACAAAGCCTCAAACAGGAACAGGAAACAACCTCAAGAGCCCCAGAAGGTATAAAAGCCTACCACTCTGCTCCATGTGGTTCATTTAAAGATAACCAAAATTGATTATTGAATGAAAGAGGGTTTAAAGGGAGAAAAGGGTTCTGAACTGTTCAGATCAGCCTTCTCCATCCTGATGCCTCCCGCCCCCAGCTTAGAAGTCTTCCAAGTCCTAGAATATCCAGCAATCATGAATCTTACTACTTGTGATGCCCCAGGATTGCAACCATGTCCGGATTATAACCACAGAGCTTTTTAATAGTATATAATGGTGCTTTTTAACTTTGGACGCCAGTCCTCCACCTTAGGGAACTGTTCCATTTTTCTATTGTTCATTATCTTCTAGGTCTGTGGTTAGAATGCAATAATGCAGGCTAATTCTACCGACTGCCAGCAGTTCGATTCTGACCAGCTCAAGGTTGATTCAGCCTTCCAAGGTCGGTAAAATTCGGACCCAGATTGTTGGGGGCAATAGACTGACATTGTAAACTGCTTAGAGAGGGCTGTAAAGCACTGTGAAGCGGTATATAAGTCTAAGTACTATTGCTGTTGCTATTATGGTATTGTACACAGAACTCATAAAAACTGAGCATGTGCAGTTCCAAACATGTCCATTGACATGCATGTCTGACTGATCCCAGTGGATCATATTGTCTAGTACTGGGTGTTACAACAATCTTGCTGGAATTATTTCAACACTGTCCTCACTGCACTATATCCAATTTGGGCATCACACTGACTCCAACAAAAAACATTTTTCTCATACCAAAGGTAGGGGGAAAAGTTCCTTAGAAGCATGCTGGATGTGAGAAAGTGCTTTATTAATCTCTTGTAAAAATATAGCCATCTAGGAAAAAATGCAACTACTGTATTATACATGCTGTCTTAAAAAAGGATAGTACAGAATTCTAACCGATTTTATATATAGGTAAAGGTTTCCCATGTCCAGTGGTGTCTGACCCTAAGGGGGATTGCTCATCTCTGTTTCCTAGCTGACAGAGCCAGTGTTGTTCGAAAGTACTTCTGTGTGTCATGTGACTGGCATGACTATATGCCAAGGTGCATGAAACGCTGTTACCTTCCCACTGAAATGGATCCTATTTATCTACTTGCATTTACATGCTCTTGAACATCTAGGCTGGCAGGACCTGGCGTGAAACGGCAACTTACCCCGTCTTGCAATGCCTCTGTCTTGAATTGTCATCGTTCCAGCTGACAAGCTCAGCATCGTAACTGCTAGGTCACTATGCCTCTATTTTACCTATAATGACATCAAAACCTACAATAGTTTCATTAACAAACACATCACTGTTATATAGTTCATGGAAATACAGTGCCATGAACCAAGAAAATTTGGGATCGTGTTAAAAAAGTACAGTAATAATATAAAACGGACATTAACAGATCATAGATCCTGGTAGATTTGTCTGAGATAAAAACCTAACCTGGTAAAGGGGATTCAGTGCTCGTATCTCTCCTATATGTGACTTATTTGTAAGTCAGCCTTTTTTTTTTCAAATGAACTTCAAGTCAGTTTTGATTCCTAGTGACTATACAACCTAGAAAAGTTCAAGTTCATTTAGGTGTCTTGGCAACACTTTTTGGAAGTGGTTTGCCAGAGCTGATTGAGAGTCTGGCCGAAGGTCACCTATCTGATGTGCCTAAGGCAGAACTCAAACATGTGGTCTCCTGATTTCTAGCCTGGTACTTTCAGCCACTACAGAACACTAAATAAAAGCAAGCCAGTGCACCATTTTGAATTAAATGCCTTCATCCTGAATCATCAAGAGGGTGGCCACCAAAATCTGAGCTTGTACTGTATATGTGGGTATATGCATACTTCTGTATTTATATAACAACAACAATAACAAAATAACAGATTTGGAAGGGACTTTGGAAGTCATCTAGTCCAACCCCCTGCTCAGGCAGGAAACCCTATATCATTTCAGACAAACGGCTATCCAGTCTCTTCTTAAAAATTTCCATTGTTGGAGCATTCACAAATTCTGGAGGCAGGTTGTTCCAGTCAGAAATTTATCCTTAGTTCTAGGCTGCTTCTTTGATTAGTTTCCAGCCATTGCTTCTTGTCTTGCCTTCAAGTGCTTTGGAGAATAGCTTGACTCCCTCTTCTTTGTGGCAGCCCCTGAGATATTGGACCCCTCGTCCTTCTCTTCATTAAACTAGACATACCCAATTCCAGCAACCGTTCTTTGTTTCTGCTCCAGTCCCCTAATCATCTTTGTTGCTCTTCTCTGTACTCTTTCTAGAGTCTCAACAACTTTTTTACATTGTAGTGACCAAAACTGGATGCAGTATTCCAAGTGTGGCCTTACCAAGGCATTATAAAGTGGTATTAACACTTCAGTGATCTTGATTCTATCCCTCTGTTAATGCAGCCTAGCACTGTGTTGGCTTTTTTGGCAGCTGCAGTGCACTGTTGGCTCATATTTAAGTGATTGTCCACTAGGACTCCGAGATCCCTCTCACAGTTATTGAGCAAGGTACCTCCTATACCAGGGGTCAGCAACCTTAAATACTCAAAGAACCATTTGGATCCATTTCCCACAGAAAAGAAAACACTGGGAGCCACAAAACCCTTTTGACACCTTTATGCTATGTATAAAAAAACTATAGTGTGTTGCATTTATGAAATCAATGAACTGCTACAAAGAAAACAAATTTTTATTTCAGCACGCAACAGAAACATTTTAAACTCCCAAAAAAAGACGCTGGGTCGAAGGTGACTTTCAAATAAAATACTCAATGTCTATTTGAGTCCTCCTCATATTTATGAAATAAAAAGGCAAACTTAACTTATCCGCTACAGCAAACCCAAAATGCTGTCTGCTTCTGTGTGCCGTCATCCTTTTATTGCGTGTACTGGAGCGTGCAGTCAGCTGTCAACGAATAAAAAAGGACTATTTCACTGAACAATGTCAAATATATATTTGCAAAATAATAGCCAATTAAAATATTTATTTTACCTGGTTAATGTGATGTTTGCTTCTCAACATCAGCACACAGCATCTGCACATCAGGGCTGTAAGACGTCACCTTCATCTTCAAACAGGATTGCAAGCTGTTGTCTGTGACGTGTGAGCAATATTTGTTTTTAATATAGTTCAAGTTGGAGAAGACCTGCTCACATACGTATGTGGATCCGAAGATCGACAGGACTCCAAATGCATATCTTTTCATGTTTGTGTAAGTGTTGGGGATGGTATCCCATGTTTCGAATATAAGCTTGTCCTGTTTAGGAAGGTTTTCAATATCACTCCATTTGTGATTCTGAGCAAGACTGGCCTTCTGACGGGCAACATCTTCAAGATTATCTGCCAAGCGTTGGAACTTGGACACCCATATATCTTTGTCAGCTATGTCGGCCAGTTCCATCTCAAGATCGGGTTGACTTACACCTGCAAATACAGTCATATTCAGTGCAGATGGATCGATGGTCAGGGGAGTGATAGGGAAAGATAACGTATTTTTTTCCTCTCTGAACTCACAGAATCGCTTCCCAAACGATGTTTGCATTGCAATGATTGCGGACTGCAAATACTCTGAACTTATCATGTCGTGACCTCGTTTGAACTCTCTCAAAGAGGGGAAGTGAGACAGTGTACCTCTCTGTAAATCTCTGGCAAACACTGTCAACTTGCGCTCAAATGCCAAAACTTCCTCAAGCATGTGCAGGGCTGTGCCTCCTTTACCCTGAAGAGTTGTGTTCAGCGTGTTCAGGTGTGCTGTCATATCTACCATGAAGTGTAGCTTTTCCAGCCACTCTGGCTGTTCCAGCTCAGGAAAGGTGAGCCCTTTGCTACCCAGGTAAGTTTTCGCCTCTTCCAAACACGCGACAAAATATTTTAGTATCTTCCCTCTGGACAGCCACCGGACTTTGTCATGCAGCAGGAGATCAGGATACATGCTTTCCACCTCCTCTAGTAGCAAACAGAACTGGCGGTGATTTAAACCTTGTGTCATTATTTTATTGACAATCTGAATGACAACATTCATTACTTCTATGCATTCCGGAGGAAATGTTTGAGCACACAACGCCTCTTGGTGCAGGATGCAGTGAAATGTTAGCAGCGTTCTACCCAGTGACTTCTGCAGTAAAGCCACAAAGCCCTTCTGCGCTCCTGTCATACTCGGTGCCCCATCAGTAGCTACTGATACCAGGTGGGTAGTGTTTATTTCATTGGTTCTTAAATAATCCAAAACAGCCTCACAGATGTCCTCCCCCCGTGTTTGGCCTTTTAGTGGTATCAACTCAATCATTTCTTCCTGTGGCCCAGCAGAGTTCACATATCGGCAGAACAGCGCTATTTGTTCAATATCACCTTTGTCTTTGGATGCATCACAGGCGATTGAGTATGCCACAGATGAATTGATGTCTTTAATTTGCAGTCTGGTGATGTTTTCTGCCATTTTTATGGTTCTGTCTTTGACAGTCTTTGCAGAGAGAGGCATATCTCTGATTTTCTGCACAAGTTCACTCTTGTTTTTGAAGTCCGAGAATAGATGTTCTGAAATCTTAATGAATGATTCCTTGATATACTCTCCATCTGTGAACGGCTTCCCGTGCCTGACTATTTCCTGAGCGGCCACAAAACTAGCATATGTAGTTGAATTTGCAGACTTCACACACTCCTTAAAATGATTCTTGCTCAGATCAACCATCTGCATCAATTCCGAAACGGCTTTTTTTCTCTCATCTCCACCCGGGTATTTTTCAGCAAAGGCTGTGTGCTTCTTCTGGAAATGTCTTGCAACATTTGACTTTTTGTTGTTTGCCAATTTCTTACCACATATTAAACATACTGGTAAACCAGTCTTGTCAGTAGTGAAAGCAAATGAATCTGCCCATGTATCATTAAATTTTCTGTTTTCTTCTGAAATTTTTCTTTTCTTGCATGATTTATCCATAGTTGGCCTACTGGGGGTCGAAAAGCACAATAAATCTCATGCGGCTGTCACACATTGGCAATTGTGACCAATACTGGGAATCAAATAATTTAACAACCAGTTCTCTGCAGAATTCCCCCCTCCCCGCATGGAGCACCCTGTCGCCACTACTTCCCCCCCAACCCTGACGTAGCGCTACATTGCCACTGCTGCTTCCCCCCCAGGACGGCACGCTCCGCTGCTGCTTTACCCAGTGGCGAAGGTGGAGTTTGGGAGGCAGCGGCAGGGCATAGCCTAGGCATGGCCGAGCAGCAGCAGCAAAGATCGTTCTCCCCATTCAAGGCGCAGCAGCAGGATTGCTCTCAATAAGGCGGGCGCACATGACCGAGCAGCGCACCCGGCTCTTATTGTTTGAGAGCAATCCCGCTGCTGTGCCTCCATTTTCTTCAACCATGATTCCCCCCCTTCCCAGCCAGCCAGCTCTTCATGAATTTAACATGGACATTAAAATGCTTCACCGCCTTTATCAACATCACAAAGAAAAGAACTTTAATTGTGCTTGATCACATGCACTCATTTTCCTCCAGTCACTCTCTTGGCATCTCTATCCACTTCATCACCCTCTGAAAGCCAGAGGACTCACAATGATCCACACTCATAGAGAGGATCCTGCAATCTAATCTGAGCTGTCACAACCTTTCATTTGTGATTATAGCAGGTTATTCTCTCTCTCTCTTCATCTCCGTCTCTCTGTCTCTGTCTCTCTCATTAAATGTCCTCTGTTTTTCAAATATTTTTATTAAGGATTATAAATGAAAAGAGTAAAAGCCGGTGCAAACTATAAAAACTACACATAGAAAAATAGAAAAGAAAAAAATTGCAGGGGAAAAAAGAAATGGATAGGAGAAAGAGGGGGGAAAAACCCCTTCTCCTTCATCCCAAAAGGTAAAAACAATTTTAGTAGCTTATCTACCATCTTTAAATACAGCATAATTATCCCCATACCTCATTTCTTAATTAAAAAAACCATCAAAATATTTCATTAAACGTTCTTTACTGAAAGTCTAGTAAGGACAACCATGTATATTCATTCTCTCTCTCTCTCTCTCTCTCTCTCTCTCTCTCTCTCTCTCTCTCTCTCTCTCTCTCTCTCTCTCTCTCTCTCTCTCTCCCTCCCTCCCTCCCTCCCTCCCTCCCTCCCTCCCAGCAAACCACTTACTGGGAAAATCTAACAACTTCCAATCCTTTTTGTCTTTTAGAAGGGGGTGGCTGCCACTCGCCTATCTCAATAACTGTCTGACAGTTCCTAGGAAACAAAAAAAGGTAAAAAGGACCACAACAGTTTGCTTTACATGCTTTTCTTCCCCCGATCTTTTAAAAATTAAATTCAATATATTCCAGAGTATGCCTGTCCACCTGGCTGTGGCTTTGCAGCGTCCCTTAAATTGGGTTTGGAAGCTCATGAGACTACAGCAGCCAAATTAACATTGAGAAGATGACAATATCCAACGTAGAGTTGATAGAGCCCCTCCACACGACACACCAGGCAGGATGATTGCCTGTTGAGCTGCTGTCTAATTCTTAGAATAATGATTTCCATACACATAATTCTTGGATTAAATTTGCATGGCCAATTAAATAAAGAACTACTCAAGGCAAATAAAGACGTCGCAAAAAGACCTCTGGAAAGACGTCTGGAAACCAAATGGATGTTTCACCATTTGGGTTGGGAAGAGACCAGCCTCTGCTGCAGTTCACATGCTCTCTCTCCCTCCCTCTCCCTCCCTCTCCCTCCCTCTCCCTCTCTCTCTCCCTCCCTCTCCCTATCTCCCCCTCCCTCCTTCTCCCTCCCCCTCCCTCTCTCTCTCCCTCACTCTCCCTCCCAGCAAACCACTTACTGGGAAAATCTATCAACTTCCAATTCTTCTTCTCTTTTAAAAGAGGGTGGCTGCCACTTGCGTGTCTCAATAACTGTCTGACCGTTCCTAGGAAACAAGAAAAGTAAAAGGACCACAACAGTTTGCTTTACATGCTTTTCCCAGGGCTCTGGAAAGACGTCTGGAAACCAAATTGATGCTTCACCATTTGGGTTGGGAAGAGACCAGTGTCAGCTGCAGTTCACATGCTCTCGCTCTCTCTTTCTCCCTCTCCCCCTCTCTCCCTCTCCCTCCCTCCCTCTCTCTCCCTCCCCCTCCCTCTCTCTCTCCCTCCCAGCAAACCACTTACTGGGAAAATCTATCAACTTCCAATTCTTCTTCTCTTTTAAAAGGGGGTGGCTGCCACTTGCTTGTCTCAACTGTCTGACCGTTCCTAGGAAACAAGAAAAGGACCACAACAGTTTGCTTTACATCAGGGGTGTCAAACTCAATTTCATTGAGGGCCACATCAGCATTGCGGTTGCCCTCGGGGGGCCGGGTGGATGTGGCCAGGGTGGGTGCGGCCCACTGGATGGGTGTGAATGGAGTGGGTGTGGCCTACTGGGTGGGCATGGCCAGCTCTATAGCGTTCACGTCAAGGCAGGCAGTGAGGCGCTCTCCTCGCAGTGCCGAGAGGTTGAGCCAGGCGATGTGAAGCTCGTCAGCTTTCACCTTGCTGCCTGCTGAAATTGGGCAGACTGGGGGCTAGGCAGCATTGCACTTCTCATCAGATTTGTGCCACCTAGCTCAGCTCTTGGCGCTGTGAGGAGAGCGCCCTGCTGCCTGCCGAAACCCCTCCGCCGGAGCCCATCAAGCCGGATAGGTGAAGTAGGCGAGGGCCATTTGCTGGCCACTTCCAGGCGATGGTGCATTTCTTCATTCCTCACAAAGGGTGACATCTCCCCAGCATGCACCCAGGAGGTGGGGCCGACGCAGCAGGGGCTGGTTCCTCACTGTTTTCAGACAGCCTTGTGGAGCTAAGACTGAATGCGTTTCAGCATAGATGGCCACCACAAAATTGTACATTGGCTCCCGGCTGACCTGGGCCAGGGCCAAGGCAGTGGGGGCCGTTCCCTGTTTCTAGGATGGCTTCGTAAGCCACATGAAACCACTTCAGGGGCCGCATCCGGACCCCAGGCCTTGTGTTTGACATGTCTGCTTTACATGCTTTTCCTAGGGCTCTGGAAAGACGTCTGGAAACCAAATTGATGCTTCACCATTTGGGTTGGGAAGAAACCAGCCTCTGCTGCAGTTCACATGCACCCTCCCTCTCTCTCCCTCTCTCCCTCCCCCTCCCTCTCCCTCCCAGCAAACCACTTACTGGGAAAATCTATCAACTTCCAATTCTTCTTCTCTTTTAAAAGGGGGTGGCTGCCACTC